CCCCCAGTGCCCCCAGTGTTCCCAGCGCTCCCAGTGCCGTCAGTGTTCCCGGTGCCCGCAGCACTCCTGTTGCCCACAGTGCCCACAGTGCCCACAGTGCCTGTTGCCCCCAGTGCTCCCAGTGCCTGTTGCCCCCAGTGCTCCCAGCGCTCCCAGTGCCTGTTGCCCCCAGTGCTCCCAGCGCTCCCAGTGCCTGTTGCCCCCAGTGCTCCCAGCGCTCCCAGTGCCTGTTGCCCCCAGTGCTCCCAGCGCTCCCAGTGCCTGTTGCCCCCAGTGCTCCCAGCGCTCCCAGTGCCTGTTGCCCCCAGTGCTCCCAGCGCTCCCAGTGCCTGTTGCCCCCAGTGCTCCCAGCGCTCCCAGTGCCTGTTGCCCCCAGTGCTCCCAGCGCTCCCAGTGCCTGTTGCCCCCAGTGCTCCCAGCGCTCCCAGTGCCTGTTGCCCCCAGTGCTCCCAGCGCTCCCAGTGCCTGTTGCCCCCAGTGCTCCCAGCGCTCCCAGTGCCTGTTGCCCCCAGTGCTCCCAGCGCTCCCAGTGCCTGTTGCCCCCAGTGCTCCCAGCGCTCCCAGTGCCTGTTGCCCCCAGTGCTCCCAGCGCTCCCAGTGCCTGTTGCCCCCAGTGCTCCCAGCGCTCCCAGTGCCTGTTGCCCCCAGTGCTCCCAGCGCTCCCAGTGCCTGTTGCCCCCAGTGCTCCCAGCGCTCCCAGTGCCTGTTGCCCCCAGTGCTCCCAGCGCTCCCAGTGCCTGTTGCCCCCAGTGCTCCCAGCGCTCCCAGTGCCTGTTGCCCCCAGTGCTCCCAGCGCTCCCAGTGCCTGTTGCCCCCAGTGCTCCCAGCGCTCCCAGTGCCTGTTGCCCCCAGTGCTCCCAGCGCTCCCAGTGCCTGTTGCCCCCAGTGCTCCCAGCGCTCCCAGTGCCTGTTGCCCCCAGTGCTCCCAGCGCTCCCAGTGCCTGTTGCCCCCAGTGCTCCCAGCGCTCCCAGTGCCTGTTGCCCCCAGTGCTCCCAGCGCTCCCAGTGCCTGTTGCCCCCAGTGCTCCCAGCGCTCCCAGTGCCTGTTGCCCCCAGTGCTCCCAGCGCTCCCAGTGCCTGTTGCCCCCAGTGCTCCCAGCGCTCCCAGTGCCTGTTGCCCCCAGTGCTCCCAGCGCTCCCAGTGCCTGTTGCCCCCAGTGCTCCCAGCGCTCCCAGTGCCTGTTGCCCCCAGTGCTCCCAGCGCTCCCAGTGCCTGTTGCCCCCAGTGCTCCCAGCGCTCCCAGTGCCTGTTGCCCCCAGTGCTCCCAGCGCTCCCAGTGCCTGTTGCGGGAAGGCGTGTGAGTGTGTGGTGAGGTGTGTCGTAAAAAGTGAGCTACAAAAAGGCTTTAAAAAGTGAACCCGTCCCCAAATAAATAAGCCTGTGCTGCTGCTCCCCAGGGCCCGGGCGCTCGGGGGGTCCCTCGTGCTGACCCGGCACCCCCGGCCCACCCGCCGTGGGGCTGTTCCGTGAGGGGCCACCTGGAGAGACACCAAAACGCTTTGGGCTGTGCTAGACCCCTTCCTGGAGCCTTGTGGGGCACGGGGACAGGGACATCAGGAGCACAGTGTCCTCAAGCCCTGCCTGACGGTGACAGGGACCTTTCCTAGCAGCTCCCACTGGGAGAGGGTGAGCAGCGTGCCCACCAGGACCTGCCCAGCTCCCACATGGGGACACACTTTGGGTCCTTCCATGTCCCGCTGGCCACCCTGGTGCCAGTGCTCTTCACTGCCAGCTCCCCGCTGTCCCCAGCACTTGTCCCACGTCCCCGTGGCAGCGAGGGGACCCACCGGCCGGTGCTGCTACGTGCCCAGGGACAGGAATGTGACGTTGCCCTCCGTGTCCAGGCACAGCCCCTGGCTGCCCTCGGGCCCCAGCAACCTCCGAGTCGTCTGTGGCGGGTGTCTTGGAGCCACTGTTGTCCTCATCCAAGGGGCTCTCGGTTCCCTCCAGCTCCGTGTCCGACTCACCCTCCTCCTCCTCCTCCAGCGTCAGCTCAAACTGGAACTTGTCGGTGGTGGCAGGGGAGGCCCTGGGTCCCTCGGGCAGTGGGGATGGGCTGCGTGGGATCATGCTCTGGTACCATTCCCGGTTGTCCTCCAGGGTGTCCAAGATCTCTTGGGCATCGGGGTGCACCAAGTCAGCCCAGGTCTCCCACAGCGGGTGGGCGATGAAGTCGATGAAGCCCACCTGGAGGAAGACAGAGCTGAGCCCCCAGCCCGGTCCTGTGGCCCCCACCTCATCCCTATGGCCTCCACGTCATCCCTGTGGTCCCCCATCTTATCCCCATGGCCCCCACCTCTTCCCCATGGCCCCCAGCCCTGCCCTACACCACTTGTCCCACCTGGGACTTCTCCACGGAGGCCGTGTGCTTGTCACACATGGGGCTGATCTCCATCCCCTTCTCCCGCTCCCGGTCTCCTTGGCGGAAGAACTCCACCATGATGCGGTCGGTCCATTGCCTGTAGAGCTCCAGGGGCTTCGTGGGGTTGCTGAGGTCAGCACAGTGCACCATGTTCTGCAGGACCTGCAGACATAGCATCTCTTACCCCAAGCCCTTTGTCCCCCATGCCCACCACCCCTATATGCCAGGAACCCCCCTGACCGTGGCCAGCCAGGGTTGTGAGGGGTGGTGGCATCACACAGGACACCCCAGCAGCCCCAGCCAGACCCAGGACCAACACCTGCACTGCCAGAAAGGTTTCCCCACCTTGTGGGTCCTTGTGCCCACCTGGATCCGATCAGAATAGTTGTCCAGCAGCAGCACCCCCAGGCTGGTCACCTTCTTGGTCTCCACCATGGTTTTCAAATCCGCCAGCAGGTTCATGTGCTTGGACATGTCGGTGGCCAGAACCTGGGCAAGGAAAGCCAGGAACAGGGCTCAGCCTGACCCCACCACAAAGCCCCCAGCCCACACCCCCCACCCTGGGGTGGTTCAGACCCCCCCCTGTACCATGTCAATGGCCATCTTGCGGAGTGACTGCCTCTGCTTCTTGCTCAGGTTCTGGAAGATGTCGCAGTTCTCCTCCTGGAGAAGCTTGAAGCCCACGGCCAGGTGGTGGTTCTCCAGCACCGAGGCATCGTTGTACATCAGCGCCAGCTCTGAGTCTGAGAGATGGCACTGGTCACCCCAGGGTGGCTCCTGGAGGCTGGTGTCCCCCACACCCCTCCCCAGCTCCATCCTTGCACCCCATCTCACTGGTGTTGATGAGGAACTGGTTGGAGACACCGGGGTGGTCAACATCGTGGATGGCACTGGCAAAAATAGCAGCCATGATCTCCAAGTCAGTGAAGACAGCCTAGGGATGATGCAAAAAGGCATTGCAGGTGTGTTATGGCCCCACCTGGACACCGGCCTTGGTGAGCAGGGCTCACCTCCAGCGCGGGCGTGGAGAGAAGGACGTGGGTGGACTGAGCCACGTCGGCGGCGTGGAGGTTGTTGTGATAGGCCACGTCAGCGTGGTAGTGGTCCTCCAGCGTCAGCATGTAGGTGATGAAGGTGTCCACGGGGATGCGGAAGGTCTTCATCAGGGTTCCCTCCAGCTCCGTGTCCGACTCACCCTCCTCCTCCTCCTCCAGCGTCAGCTCAAACTGGAACTTGTCGGTGGTGGCAGGGGAGGCCCTGGGTCCCTCGGGCAGTGGGGATGGGCTGCGTGGGATCATGCTCTGGTACCATTCCCGGTTGTCCTCCAGGGTGTCCAAGATCTCTTGGGCATCGGGGTGCACCAAGTCAGCCCAGGTCTCCCACAGCGGGTGGGCGATGAAGTCGATGAAGCCCACCTGGAGGAAGACAGAGCTGAGCCCCCAGCCCGGTCCTGTGGCCCCCACCTCATCCCTATGGCCTCCACGTCATCCCTGTGGTCCCCCATCTTATCCCCATGGCCCCCACCTCTTCCCCATGGCCCCCAGCCCTGCCCTACACCACTTGTCCCACCTGGGACTTCTCCACGGAGGCCGTGTGCTTGTCACACATGGGGCTGATCTCCATCCCCTTCTCCCGCTCCCGGTCTCCTTGGCGGAAGAACTCCACCATGATGCGGTCGGTCCATTGCCTGTAGAGCTCCAGGGGCTTCGTGGGGTTGCTGAGGTCAGCACAGTGCACCATGTTCTGCAGGACCTGCAGACAGAGCTTCTCTTACCCCAAGCCCTTTGTCCCCCATGCCCACCACCCCTATATGCCAGGAACCCCCCTGACCGTGGCCAGCCAGGGTTGTGAGGGGTGGTGGCATCACACAGGACACCCCAGCAGCCCCAGCCAGACCCAGGACCAACACCTGCACTGCCAGAAAGGTTTCCCCACCTTGTGGGTCCTTGTGCCCACCTGGATCCGATCAGAATAGTTGTCCAGCAGCAGCACCCCCAGGCTGGTGACCTTCTTGGTCTCCACCATGGTTTTCAAATCCGCCAGCAGGTTCATGTGCTTGGACATGTCGGTGGCCAGAACCTGGGCAAGGAAAGCCAGGAACAGGGCTCAGCCTGACCCCACCACAAAGCCCCCAGCCCACACCCCCCACCCTGGGGTGGTTCAGACCCCCCCCTGTACCATGTCAATGGCCATCTTGCGGAGTGACTGCCTCTGCTTCTTGCTCAGGTTCTGGAAGATGTCGCAGTTCTCCTCCTGGAGAAGCTTGAAGCCCACGGCCAGGTGGTGGTTCTCCAGCACCGAGGCATCGTTGTACATCAGCGCCAGCTCTGAGTCTGAGAGATGGCACTGGTCACCCCAGGGTGGCTCCTGGAGGCTGGGGTCCCCCACACCCCTCCCCAGCTCCATCCTTGCACCCCATCTCACTGGTGTTGATGAGGAACTGGTTGGAGACACCGGGGTGGTCAACATCGTGGATGGCACTGGCAAAAATAGCAGCCATGATCTCCAAGTCAGTGAAGACAGCCTAGGGATGATGCAAAAAGGCATTGCAGGTGTGTTATGGCCCCACCTGGACACCGGCCTTGGTGAGCAGGGCTCACCTCCAGCGCGGGCGTGGAGAGAAGGACGTGTGTGGACTGAGCCACGTCGGCGGCGTGGAGGTTGTTGTGATAGGCCACGTCAGCGTGGTAGTGGTCCTCCAGCGTCAGCATGTAGGTGATGAAGGTGTCCACGGGGATGCGGAAGGTCTTCATCAGGTCACGCTCCTGCGGGGAGGCAGGAGGGGGCTCACCTGTGATCCCCATCCCGGCGCGGGGACGGGGACAGCCCCTCGGGATGCTCACCTGGAAGATGCTGTACATGATGACGGTCAGCGGGCGGTTCCCCGAGTACTCGGCGACTTTGAACACGTTGAGCCCCCACTTGTTGGTGTCCTCCAGCTCCTGGCGACCAGAGGGACAGAGGAGGTCCATGGGGG